CCCCAAAACCCCAAAACCCCATTAAACGAATTTCGAAAAGTTCGAGGAGAAAAACATTATTTTAAATAGAAAATCCAATTATTACTATACTATATTTTCAATATCATACTAAACTAAAAGCTATAGAAATATAAAGAACATGGCAGAAATATAATTTTAGAACATTACAGAATCAGTTAAACCAAATACTATATACAGCCCTTAACTTCAAATTATTACCAATTCCAATCATAAAGAGAGTTATGAGGAAAATTTGAACAACGAAATTTAAGATCTTGAAAACTAAGATCATCAGAATACCACATAATTGAGTACCAGAGAGCTATTAGAACAATAAAGCAAAATTAGTGAATTTTAAACAAATTCAGAAAATGGTTCCTCAAATCAATCAGAAGAAGAGGATGATGTTTAGGAAAGTGAAGAAAGCAATGATGAAGAATCTCTACAATAATCTAATACTAATCATTTTTCTGTATGCGAAATCTGTTTTGAGGAAGATTCTATCTTTAATTTGGTAAGATTAAATTGCGGTCACAGTTATTGCGAAGATTGTTTGAAAATAATGGCAATTTATTTGATTGATATGACAGGTGAAATTCATAAATTAAAATGTCCAAACTCTCAATGTCCTGCAGTACTAGCAAGAAATGTTATTGAAGATCTTTTAGATAGCTAACAGTATCAAAAATACCTAGGATTAGTGTAAAATCATGAATTAGTTTTAAACAAAGATAAAAGGTTTTGTCCAACACCAGATTGCTCTAACATTCTTGAAAAAAGCAGTTTTATCATTTCCTCTAAAGTTCTTTGCAATAAATGTAATAACAATATTTGCTTTGATTGCTAATCAATTTGGCATTAAGGAAAATCTTGCAGGTAATTTTAAAAAGAGTAAAATCTTAGTTGGGCACTTGAAAATGAAGTTTAGAAATGCCCCAAATGCAAAGTAATGATTGAGAAAAATGACGGTTGTGATCATATGACCTGCTACAATTGCCAGCACTATTTTTGCTGGTGTTGTGGATTCCCTGTTGACCATATTTTGCATAATGAGGACATCTAAAAATATCTTTTTAACTAAATCTGTGAAGATGAATAATAAATCAAATTAAGCAAACTTATACTGACTTACATTTTACTAGCAATAGCAGTATAAATTATTAGCGCTCTTATTTTTTCAATCGGTATTGTATTGTATTGGATTATTGCACCATTTATTCTATATCATAACATAACAGCTGTTTATAAAGGAGTCTTGGTTAAAAAAGTAGTTTTTTATCTCCTATTTATTGGATATCCTGCTTTTATTTGCTTGGGTTTAGTAACTGGTGCAATTTTAGGATCAACATATTTGGTATTTGGGATAATTCCTATGGGAGTAGTTCATTCGTATCATTTGATAAAAATAGTTAGCTGGAAGAGATAAGGCAAAAGCTTTAGAGCAAAATGATCATTAAATGTTTATTATATGTATATATGCTATATGATATTTTATTTTAATGAAAAAAATTAACCACTTAGAAATAACTCTCTTCTGGGGTTTTGGGGTTTTGGGGTTTTGGGG